GGGGGGGGGGGGGGGGGGGGGGGGGGGGGGGGGGGGACGGCGGCGGCTGTGTTCGTGTGTTCAGGGGAGAAGGCACAGCGGGCAGAGGAAGAGGGCGGAGCAAGCCTCAAGCCTTGTTCGGTGGTGGCTGAAGGCCTGGCAAAGGAGGTGAATCAACCGGCGAAGTCCTCTGTGCGACACAGAGAGAGGCAAACGAGAGTGGGGGGGGCGCAGCAGTGATACACTCCTCGTTGGTACCTAACAGCCCCGTTTCCTTTCGTCACCGAGGACGCGGCTTGGCCCGGCGAAGCCCTGGACGAGAGGATCCCAATCGTCCTATAGCACCACCGGCTTTTCGCAAGGGGCGGCGGCGGTGTGGTTTTGCATCCGGGGAGCCGACCACCGCTGCTTGTCCTTCAGAAGAGGCTGCTGCACACACCGCGTGCAGCCACCGGGCAGACTCCAGCCCCTTCTTGGCTGCACCTGGGTACGCGGTAGCTGCTGGTTGCATTCGCGTTGGCGCGCAAGGGCGTGGATCAGCTGCAGCCGCTGCTCCTACAACAACTGCAGCTCTCGTGCACCAGAGGCGGGGGAACCTTGTCGCTCTCGGCGGTCAATTTGCGGCGAAACGCTCAACACCGGGAGGAGGCGCAGCAGTGAGGTAGGCGTCCGCCAGCAGCACTCTCGAGCACAACAACCAGGGGTGCGGGCAGGCCAACCCATCGCCCACGCTCACGCGCGCGTTTTTAATTAGAGAGTGTCAAGCAGAAAAGAGCAACCAATCCTGCGGTGCCCAGTAGTGTAGATTGGAAGGTGGACTGCCTGCGGCACCACCGGCACAGCTGGGGAAAGCGGTGACTATTTCGGACGTTGGGGAGGGGCTTGTGGGCCAGGGCTGCAATTGGTCCCGTCTGCTCGCCAAGGACTGCTGTTTCGGCTGACGAAGGCTTGTGTCCAAGACCCTCCTTTGTGCGTCGGCGGCCCAACAATAAACGCGGTGCTAAGGCAGCTTGTCGGGGGAGAGAGGGAGTGAAAGCCCGACCGTCGTCGGGTTTGGCAGCCTTCCTGCCCCTCCTCGCCTACAAAGCACCTCTCTGTTTACAGCAAAAACGGGCGGGGTTTCCTAGAGCTACCCTTGTTGAATCATTGGTTGGCGACGGCAGCGGCGTCAACGATTTGATCTCTCTCTCTCTTTGAGGATCTTGGCGGAAACTCCTCCGAGTGGAAACTACCGCAAGGTGGTGTTGGATCACTCTGTCTTTTGAGGGACTTCACGAAAACTTACTCCAAGGCAGTGTTGGGGACACACTGAAAAAGTGTGGCCGGGGTGGTCGTCTAGCGGTGGTGGGTAGGCGGGGGGCGGCGGCGGCGGGCAAGCGGTCATGATGCGGAGACCACCGACGCGGGCCGGCCTGGGGGGAAAGAAGGCCTCCGGCACGGGCTTCAAGATCACGTACAGCGTTAACCAGCTCCTGTCCATGGGGAAGGAGCTGATGGAGTCCGAGGCGGGGTGTCCTCCGCCAGAGGGGTGGGACAAGTACGAGTACGATACCATTGGGTGAGAGAGGTTGGCTTTTTCTTTTGTTGGGTTTTTGCTATTTGAGTAGTATTTTCCGCTGTTGAGACTGTAGGCACGGCTGCTGCTGCTTCTTGTGCACGGCCCACAGCAGCAGTTTGTGGTGGAATCGGCAGCAGCTGCAGATGTTTGCAAGTGGAATAGCTAAGGTCGTCTGCTCTCATCACCAACCCGTTCCTCCGTTGAGGCGAGGTGAAGCTCCCACTCAGGCGGTGGAGGCGAGGTGAAGCGTCCGTATCTCCAACACCTGCACGTACAAGCAGGCAACGACCACTTTTTTTTCGTAGTATGACACAACCAACCTATCCCCACCCATAGAAAAGAGTCTTTAAGATTGAATAACAATAGATTCATTGCGTCAGCGGAAACTACATGTATTTCCACGGTTTTGACTTACCTCGAAGTAAATAATTTTCTTCTGTAGTTCTTTGTTGTTGGTGTTGGGGAGGACTTATAAATTATACTTTTAAGTAATGGAAGTAAATCGTACACACAGATAACTATTTACGCCGCCAGCCCCCCTTCCCCCCCGGACGGACCATCGGTGATCGGTCTTTTGGGAACAAAGCTCCATCAATCGTCTCAGCGCCAACCCATGCCATACATGACTACCCGACCCCCCCTGCCCGACCCCACCCCCCCTCAGTCCCCTCATCGACGAGAACAACACCCGAATCCCGTCGAAGGAAGAGGCCGCCGCCCTGAAGATGAAGCCCGGCTCCGCCAGAGACCTGCACTCCGAGCACATCGCCGTCCTCGTCGCCAAGCAGGGGGCTGACCCGGACCAGTCCCCGTCCCTTGGGCCGAGGGGCGGCGGCGACCGGCCTGATCGGGACCGTGGGGGCGGCGGCGGGCGCGCGGACGGGAGGCGTGACGGTCAGCCTGGGTGGGGGGACCGCGATAGGGATTGGGACAGATTTGGAGACAGGTGTGTCATTTCATCATGTTTTTGATTTTATTTGTTCTTCTTGCATGCATAGAATCATGAAAGACTACTCGTTCGACATGATGCCACCGTCGAGGCCGTTACACTTACATCGAGTGGGAAGAAAACCGGCTTGGTGTTTTGTTGTCGAGTCGGCAGTAGGGGTGACGGAGGATACGCTTTTTTGACTCGTTTTCAAGTTTTTTTTTTCTCGCCTCGTTTTACTTCGAATTCTGCATTCATCCTTCAAAACGGCATTTTAGTTTCGGTATCCCCCCAACCATCCCCCTTTGACGTCACGTGCGATGCTCTCTCTCAACTTGCGCCGTCGTTGACACGCGATCCTATCAATCCACCATGTATTTTCATCCTCGACGCGCCATCAACAATACGGCACGAAACGGTGTACTGTACTGTACTGTACTGCACTGTACTGTACTGTACTGTACTGCACTGCACTGCACTGTACTGTACTGTACACTAGAAACAAGGACCGGGACCGAGGAGGACCGTTGGGAAGATACGATCAAGACAGGGAACGCCGGGATGGGTGAGTCCCCCCCCCGCGTTGGCCAAGCTTGCGCGTCCTCCTGAGTACCGACGTCCCGTTTGTGTCCGCGAGTTGTTTGTTTTTTTGCTTGAACCGCAAGACCTGGTGCACGGGGTTCAAGGTTGGAGCACACCTGTAGGGCGGCATGGTGCGGTTTCAAGTGCGGCACTTATGTAGTGCACCAACTCGCTGGGTAGATGGAGAGACATCCTCCAATATGGGGTGAACTTGGATGGCACCGTAGCTGGATCCTTGAGAAAATGGTCCCGATGGTCTCTCTATATTTGGAAGTACGTGCAACTTGAATCGAAGTCTTGGGCGGGCTGGGTTGAAATACGAGCCCCTTGCCCCGGCTGGGTCACTTGCTGTCGCGTTTGTACGAAGACGTGCACGGCATAAGCCACACGGCCTTCCATTTTTCAAACTGTTTCCGGTTCTGCTTCCGTTGTCCTATACATGGAAGGCATGCCCTTCGGAATGCAGGTCGTACTGCATGTGCGTGTTGTGGGTTGGGTACCTTGTTGGTAGGTGAGAGAATCCCCGGGATATTTGGCTTTGATCGGTTTGCCAGGATATTAACCACCTCAACTTGTTATTGCCCTTCCCGTTTTTTCCCCTTTGCGTTCTGCATATTGTTGTTTACTGTGACGCCTTCTCCAATTCTTCTCTTCGTCTCTCCTCTCTTTCTCTCTCTCTCTTTCTGTCTTTCTTTCTGTCTGTCTGTCTGTCGATCTGTCTGTCTGTCGATCTGTCTGTCTGTCGATCTGTCTGTCTGTCCCTTTCCCTTCCCCCCCCGCGTCCCCTACTATGCCTGTCTACCTGTCTGTCGGCGTCCGTTGCCGTCGTGATCGAGAGCAGAAGGCGCGAAAGGCCTAGAGATGGACCGGGCGGCGCAGGCGGGGGTCGTGCCCCGTCCCGCTGGGATGCCCTCAAGCCGGACCGGGAAAGGGACAGGGGCTACAACAACCGCAACAACCGCGATGATGAAGACGGGGGCGGGAGGGGGGGGGTAGGGCAGGATGCGCGGGCTGGCGGCGGAAGGTACGTGGTGGTACCGTTACCGTACCGTTACCGTACCGTTACCGTACCGTTACCGTACCGTTACCGTACCGTTACCGTACCGTTACCGTACCGTTGGTTGTGGTGGTTGTGGTGATGTTGAGCGGCGTGCTAATGTTGGCGGTAGGTTGAAAAAAGGGGGGGGAGGGAAAGGAGGTAGGGCGCAGCTTCGGTCGGTAGTGTTTTCGCTCCTGTCCTGTGCGGTTCGCTGTTCAATCTGGAGGCATTGTGTTCTACTACTGACAAGCAGTAGATATCCGTTTCCCCTTTCTGTTTTTGTTTGATCCGTCAGCCGGTCACCACCCTAAGGTTTGTGGCGCCTTGATTGCGCCAGGAATACATGACGTATCTACCCTTACGCGTCTTTGCCCCTCTATGGTTCCATCCTCGTCTAGGCCCTACATTGTGTTGTACTTCTCTACCAGGTAGTCTTTTTTGGGTTGTCCCAAAGTTTTCTATGTAACCAGCACAACGTTTTTGATCTCGTCGCGTATTACCCTCTTCCGTCCTCACGCTCCTCACGCTTGTTAATTTTTTCTCGTTCCGACACGGCAGCTCCATCTCACACGAAGCGTGTTACGTTTCGCGTTCTTTTCGTAGGTGTGACGCCGCATCATCACGTGCCCCCCCCCCCCCCCCCCCCCCCCCCCCCCCCGCCTCTCTATCCCCATCATGCACCTCACATACTCATCTCATGTCACCGCTCACTACTACCGTCGTTATCACCCCGTACCGTATATGGCCGCCGCACGTTCCTCCTCCTCGCCCTATTCCCTCTGCACACATGGGTAACACAACGACGTGAACTATATATCGGGACAGAGACCGAGACAGGCGGAACGGCAGAGACAGAGACAGAGACAGAGACAGAGACAGGGACAGGGACAGGGACGTCGGGGACAGGGACAGAGGAGGCGGCGGCGACGGCCTCCACGACGGGGGGCTAGGGGCCCACGACCGGGCCGTAGCACACGAGAAGGCGATCGCTGCTGGCGGTGCCGGTGCTGCTGCTGCCGCCGCCGCCGCCGCCGCTGGTGCCAACAGAGACAGGGCGGGGGCGGGGAGGGGGCGGTACGGGGGGACCAGCGAGGCGGATATCTGGGACATGCCGACCACGCTGCCCGGTGACGGTGAGCGAGAAAGAGAGAGAGAGAGAGAGAGAGAGAGAGAGAGAGATGCGGGGCTTTTTTTCGCGTACAATTTCCGGCTGCTCTTGTTGCCTTGACGTTTCTTTTTGCTGCTGCTGTTGTGCGGTTATTGTTGATGGCGATGGTGGTTGTGGTTGCGGTTGTGTTTGTCATGTGGAGTACCGGTCACCTCGTAGTTCCGTTGTTTGTATCCAGTCGTCTCTATGTCTATGTGTGTGTATGTGTATGTGTATGTGTATGTGCATGTGCATGTGTATGTGTACGTGTATGTGTATGTGTATGTGTATGTGTATGTGTATGTGTATGTGTATGTGTATGTGTATGTGGACGTGCATGTATGCTGTGTATCAGGTAGATTGCCGTGTATGACACAAGATAACACACCCCCTTGACCAATTTCGAAGCTCGATTCTCAACTGCAGGAACAATCACAGTGCCGAAAACGGCGGCGTTGAAACCGTCTCGTCGAGAGCTTTTCGAAAATGTTTTGTTTCGTTTATGCATCCTCGTCGTCGTGGAGTAATCGAGCTTTGAAAAATGGGTCCAGGGGGTGTGTTATCTTGTGTCATATGCGGTATGCGATTCTTCCATGTGCACGCGCTAGGCGGCTTCTTGTCTGCCGCTGTTGTGACCGTTCTGAAGGAACCCAGGCCCCCCATGCAAATCCACGGGCTTCTCATTCCTCATTACCACGGGGAGGTACGTCGATACCTCCAACCACAAGTCTAGAGGGTAGAGGGCATAAGCGATGGCGATAGAGTTTCTGGAAAGTTTTGTTTTTACCCGCCACCACGCCGACAAAGACACGTAGTCTACACAAGTTGTGATTCACGACAAATCTACTGCCTCGCGCCCTACCCTAGCCAGGAATGAACAGAAAATCGTCGTCTGCGGGGTCTGTGTGTTTTGGTCCTATCTATCTGCACACTCACCTTCGGTGTATATATTTTTTTATTTTATTTTTTTTTCTCCCATCATTGGACTCTGTCGTCTGCCCCTCTGGCCCCTATCCTCCACTTCTACTAGCTAGACGACCCAACCGGGGTCACATAGGAGGGGGGGGTTGGACCCCCTCCTGCGGTTCATGCCTGAGGTATTTTTATCGCGAGAAGGGTACAGCAATCCCTTCCCTCGCGACTTACGAAGTCGATTATGGTTTACTAACAAACGAGCTTTGCAGCGCGTCGCTTTCATCCTAGACCAGGATTTATTTAGTGAGAAAAAAACTCTCTCTGCCGGGACTCGAACCCATGACCTGGCCCTTAGCAGGCTGCGAGGCTACCCACTAGACCACCGGGGCGACCGGTGTATATGTACGTGGTTGACGTGTCACCCGGGGTCACCCCGGAGGAAATTTGGACAGAATTATTTTGTCGTGTTTATCGTCCTCAAATGTATGCATGCATTGATGTCGCTCGCGTCGAACTTTGTCTGTCAGGGGGCTCGACGGAGCCGCCGAAGAACACAAGGGCCGCTGGCCTCCGCAGCGCGGACCGTGAGCGTCGGGAGGAGAACCGCAAGAAGGACGAGGCGGCGGCGTTCGAACGGGAGAGGCTGGAGTTCGAGAGGGAGAGGGCCAAGGTTCTGCAAGGACGCGATGGGTAGGGAGAGTTGACGCTGTCTGTCTGTCGGTTCGTCTTGTCTGTTATCGTTGTTGTCGTTATCCCTCTGTCTGTCTGTCTGTCATCTGTGGTTGCTGCTGTTGTAGTTTATGTTGTTTCTAGGTGTTGCGTTGAGGTTTGAAACCCCCGGAGGCCATCCTTGCCGTACCCGTGTGACATCAATCATCAATCATCAATCATCAATCGGCTAGCCGAAGAAGCGAGAGAGCCTTGGTTGGACAGGAGTAGCATACCCACGCGGTTATCTACCATGCGGTTAAGTTGATTTTTTTTTCGCTCCATACGCGTCGACCGCGATCCTCAGTTGACTTGAAGAGTACTCCCGTCTCACAGTCCCGTCATATTACCCCCCCCCGTTGATGACTTCGAACTTGTGCAGGGGTCAAGCCAACGGGGGCCCCGCCGAATTCCCCGACATGGGGGGTGGCTTCCTGGGCGGGGGCATCGGAGACGACAACGACGACAACGGTCTTCTGGGCGGTATCGAAGACGACCAGCCTCCCTCCCCTCCCCCTCCCAAGGGCGGTAGCGGTAGCGGCAGCCAGGATCAACCGCAACAATTTGGCAAGAACCAGTCCGTGCTTGATAGGCTCTTCGGTGCCGGAGCCGGAGCTGCCGCTGCCGGCGGCGGCGGCGGTGGGGGTGATAGTGGGGGTCAGAAAGGAGGCACTGGCACCGCGGAGACCGGGGGAGGCGGGGGTGGCGGGGGCGCCGCGGCTGGAGGGGTTGGAGGGGGGTTTCCTGGGGGGGGTCTGTTCTCCTTCATGGCCCCCGGGAACAGCATCTCCACGATCGACAAGTTCACGGAGGTGAGTGAAGCAAAGGAGGCCAGGGTAAGGGGAGAGCGAGAGAGGACGTGGGGTCAGGCGTTTTGTTTGGTGCCATGCACGTTGGTTGTGTGTTCTGTATTGGAAGGCTCTGTGAAATTCTTGGGGCGTAGTAATGTTCGTGCTGCTTCTTGTGTTGTTGCTGCTTTTGCGAGTTAATTCTGTCGTCTTGTCGTGCCTTGTGTTTGCCTCATGTTTGTAGCAGCCAGCTCTGCCCCATTCACTCATGTACAGCGACGAGTAACCCAACGAATCATTGCAATCAACCACGCTCCACCAACGCATGTGTTATCTGTCGTTGTCGCTTGGCTTCCTACATGGTGCCGTTCATGCTGTACATGCTTAACTGGCTCTCTTAACCATGAGGTCGATTGGTTTTGCTCGATCGAGGGGCGGGGGCCGATACCTGTCGTTGGTGTATGCGTGCCAGTCTATTGATCTTGTACACGGTACCCTGCCTGCTCAAGGTGTTACACCCGTCCCCTCCCTTGTGTCGTCAACAGTACGCGAAACCCTGGGAACTCAGCTATTTTATTTTGAGAAGAACACATCCGCAATCCTCCTCTGCAGTTCGATTTTTGTATTTTTGGGCCGTCAGCAGGAGAGTGAATCTTTCGTGTTTGGAGAGAAAACCACCCCTCCGAGGCAACACCAAGAGTGGCCTTGGACTCTACTCTGATGTGCGTACGAGATGAACTTGTTTCGTTTTTGCTAGAACAAGACACGAAACAGTATTGCCACGATACCCCCGCCCTCCCGATTCGATTCAATTATGCCTGACATCCTGTACTGACGAAAATAGAAGCAAATGCCTCCGTTGTGTACCGGAAATCCCACCACAGGCAACGCGGGGGAAAGGAAACGCCAAGATTTTCTCACCCGGCACCAAACCCGCCGCAACTCCTTGGGGAAAAGTCGATAAGAAGCCTACTGCCAACGTGGTAAACGGCGGCGGTGGCGGGGGCGGGGGGGGAGGGGTCGCGCCCCCGGCGGCGGCTTTGACGGCTGCCGAGAAGGGCGCTCTGCTGAAGCGCATGATCATGGTGGGTGTCGTGATCGTGTTGTTGGTAGCCTGCCCTCTTTCTTGGCTGTGCTGTCCGTTGTGTTGGGTTCGACTGTTAATGCTGTTGCTGTTGCTGCTGATGTCACGTGTATGTGTATGTGTGGTTTCCGAACGGGTGCGGTTTTGTTCCCAACGGTGATCGTAAAGTGCCCATTCGCGTGGTTCCTTCTAAAGTTGTGGTATGATGCATTTTTCACATTCTTCAGCTCGAGCGTGGTTGGTGTAGATAATAACCCCCTAGGACGCAAGGCTTTGGGTCTGTCTGCCTTTGTGTGGTTCGTGGTTCGTCGTAGCGCTCTGTTGGCTTTGAGGAGGAGGTTCTCGAGCGGCTTTGAGGAGGGGGTTCTCGAGCAGCTGCGCGAGCAACGTCCCGCGTTGTTGGTGCTGTGGTTGTATGCATGCGAGTCCACCAAGAGAACGACGATAAGTACAAGCAACAAATGAGCCCTTCTGTTTTACCATATGCGTACCACGTGGCCAAGGTAAGGTTAATATTTGAGGCGTTTGGTGTTTGGAGCGTGGTGACAGTGTTTGGAGTCTCTCATGAACGAGGAAAGTGTCTTGTCTCGCTTGTCGTGTGCTTGTGGTTGCCCACGCGGACGAAGCTCGAAGGCGCGAGTTGTTTTTTTGCACGGTTTGAGCCAATCTATTACTCATGCACACCAGCAGGAGCTAACTGTCTTGTGCAACACCATTCATCTCAGGGTGGAGGAGGAGGAGGAGGGGGAGGGGGTGGAGGAGGAGGTGCAGCCGCCGGCGCCCCCACGAGGCAGCCAGACAACGCTAGGTCGACGGCTGGTGCAAACGGTGGCGGCGGCGGCGGTGCCGCCGCTGCAGCCGACAGGGGATGGGACGAAGAAGTCGGGGCTGCGGCAATCGCGAGGCAGCGGCAGCGGCAGCAGCAGCAGCAGCAGCAGCAGCAGCAGCAGCAGCAGCAACAGGAACACCCGGGGGTAGTGACGCAGGGAAGTGGTGCCATCGGCGGCGGAGGAGAGGGAAGGTCGGGCAGGGAGCAGGCTCGGGGTGCCAGCACGGCAGAGGTTGGGACGCTCATGCAGAGGCTGGCGGTGGCGCACCTGCCGGAGGAGCAGCGGCGAGCGGCCTTCAACCAAGCCCAGCTCGCCCAGCAGCAGCAGCAGCAGCAGCAGCAAGAACAGCAGCAGCGGCGGCAAGCTCAGTACCACCAGCAGTTGCAGCAGCAGCAGCAGCAGCAGCGCCAGGCGATGCTGTCCCAGCAACAGCAACAGCAGCAGCAACAGCAGCAGCAGCAGCAGCCCCCACCCCCGCCTGGACCGCCGCCGCCGATACGAGCTACTCCGAGCCAGCCCCCCCCCCCCCCCCCCCCCCCCCCCCNCCCCCCGGCCCCCCGCCTCCCCTGCAGCCACAGCAACAACAGCAGCAACAGCAGCAACAGCAGCAGCAGCAACAGCGGCAACAGCAGCAGGTGCGCTTGGCGTCCCCTCCGCTCGGCGCGACAGCGTACCGTGGTGGGGCCGCGGCGCTGTCGCTCGCGGCCGTGAACAACGGGCAGTCGCTGGGCGCAGAGATGGCGGTGGAAGAAGCACGTCGGCGGCAGGTGTGTCCGTATGTTTTTGTCTTTGTTGGAGACGCGCATGTGTCCGTCCGGCTGGTCAGGCTGAGACGCTACGACCGCAGTGATCTCTTTATGTATACGGATGCATAGTGCCAATAGGGTTTGGCGTGTTTCTTGTACAAGGATCACCGCTCTTGCTGTAGGTTGCGGTTGACGAGTCTTGAGACTTGTGGTATTATATTCCATGCTACCGCGACGGCTTGGAAAGTACTGGGTGAGCTAGTTGTGTGTGGCTGGTCGAGTCTTTCCGTCAGGTTGTTGCCTATGTGTTTTCCGTGGCTTGTTGTCTTCAATGGGCCATCTGCGCTACAGAGTAGATGGATCATTGCGGTGTCGGCGGTCCTCCTGTCGGAGATGCATACTCCGTTTAGAGAATTTTGTGGTGTCTTGACGACCTACGCTTCGCCCCCCTCTTGCCTGTGCTTGTACCTCGCTCTTCGGCTTGGCGGCGACATGCGGCATGATAGATACAGCAGCAGCAGCAGCGCCTGCTCATGCACCAACAACAACGGCAACACCAGACCCAGCAGCACTTGCTAGCGCAAAGAGAGCGGGAACGTCAGGTGGACCAGCTCAGGCAGCTGCAAATACAGCAGCAGCGGCAGCGCCAGGAAATCCACCAGCAGCAGCAAGTCGCGCTTCGCCAACGGCAACAGCAGCAGCAGCAGCAGCAGCCGCAGCCGCAACAGCAGCAGCAGCAACGGTACCCCGCGGAAGGTACCGGAATCAGCGCTAATGCGCTCGCCCTCCAACAGCAGCAACTGCTCAGACAACGCCAGCTCGCACAGCAGCAGCAGCAGCAGCAGCAGCAGCAGCACGCGCAACGGGCGGCGGGCGGGCGCGGGGGCATGGCAGCGGTAGCCGGGTCACACCTGCTTAGCCCCGTCGGGGGGCCGATGGTGATGCAGGTGCGGCAATACTACAGGCGGACAGCAGTAAAAATTGTACCCGGTGCCCCCCCTATAGGATGCGCGGAACGAGTTGTGGTCTCGGCTTGGCGGGAAGCTTGTACACGTTCTGAATTTTGCTCCGNCCCCCCCCCCCCCCGCCTTGTTCGAGTTTGATTGGCTACGTGATGTGGTTGTTGTTGTTTGTTGTTGTTTCTCACATTAGCTCTATAGTCCACAAAAATTGGGGAGCCCGTGGTCTCAAAACCCGGCACATACGACGCCGCGAGAAATAAAAAAACAAAAATAGGGTACAAACCAATCGGAAAAAGAAAACACAATGATAGAAAGAAAAGAACAGGTATCGCACCGACCGTTCGAGAAAAGAGCCCTCGGAAACCGATCAAAATAAAACAAAAACAAAAATAAAGGAGGACGCTTCCCATACCCGCCCAAAGAAACAATCAAAGGGTAACGTACCAGCAGCAGACACTACGACTACGCACCAGGGCATGGGAGTAATGGAGCAAACAGGGCAAAGAGGCGGCAGATGGGCAGACAGCCATACGTACAAAAAACAAAGGCAACAGCAAAGCGAGATCAAGGTACCCAACACAGCAGAGTAGGCAGGGAGGTCATGAAAAATAGAATCACAGCACAGAGGCCGAAGGCAATACAAAGGACATACATAAAGGAGTATAGCATACAGCAGGGAGGGAAACAGGGCGCAACAACATCAG